GGGGGGGGGTGAATAGGGGTATACAAATCCGCCGATTTGAAGCAAAATCCGCGATTTGAGCCAAAATATTTAATAAATCCGCAATCTGCTGTATTAGTAAGATCTGAAATCGCTTGTAAAATATTCGCCAGATCCGAAATCCGGACAATTTTTTCTGTGAAATCCAACGATCCGAAAACCTATTCACCCCCCCCCCTGCATTTTCTGAAACAGATTTTTGGACATACAGCATTACATTATGCTGTAGATAGACTGTACCTTCAGTTATGTACTTGCATATAGTATGTTTATGTAGATCCCACAACTTGATCACTCAGCTGGGAACCAACTTCAGAAACTTAGAGGGCCCGACTCCCACGAAGCGCCACCGTGGTTGGCACAGAGCGCGAAAATTTTGAAAATTTTGCGTCTCTAAATCGTCGGAAATGGCATTTTCAAAATCTTCTCTACCTCTTTTGTTAGGTCCTTTCATTAATTTGTTCATTATGATTTGTGAGTCTATGCTATCCGAGAGTCAGGATGGATTATTACAAGAAATGTTGTCATCAAAATATCGATTACAGACATTTGATTATATATATATATATATATATACGATTTCAAATACCTCTAGTTTCGAAATCAATTGGGTTTTTTTGGTGAGGGGCCAAAATTATCCCCCCCCCCCCTTATAAAACACTGAGTTGGGAGCCCGTTGCCCCCTGCGGTCACTAACTTGTTTAGCCGAGCATTCCAACAACTCAAATCTATAGGGTCTAGGAAATTTATGCAATCCACTGGAAAATGTTTAAAATCTAATAAGGTATTTACAACACACTGTTTAGCATTAAAGATAAAAGACAGGACATAAGATTCACAAAGCAAATTCAGTTAAAAGAAAATCAAACCTCCCTTTTAAATTCCATGTTTTGCTTATATTCTAGAGAAAAGGGACTTTGACTGGGGGGGGGCAAAATGGTTGAGTGGGGGTGCACCATGAAGGCTGGGAGACTTTGCCCCCCCCCCTAGTTATATAGTTAAAAAATGCCCTGCAGGAACATTACGTCGCAAAGTCATTCACAATGGTGGAGGGGGGTCCTGAAATTTTGACCAAGTTTTGGCGAACTTTTGACTGCGGATCAAGGAGTTTCTCTCCGGACATTATACACTCATTTGCTTTCTCTTTAATGTACGGTTCTTTTCTGTATTTTTTCCGTTAATTTTCCCGAAAAGAAATTATTTTCTAATTTCGTTCAAAAAGTGACCAACTGTTTTGACCAAATATTTTCCGTTTTGACCAACTGCTGAAACAAGAAATAATAAATATAAAAATATACTACACAGAAGGTAGAACAGAAAGTAACTAAAAGAACCATATACTAAGTTGTTCCACCAAAAACAAAGGACACAATCGATGAAAATGATCAACAAGTTACCACACACTGTAGTATATATAGTAATGTATCAATGCTCTTATGATTCCAGAGAGACACGAGGTCGATCCATAGGAGTATACGAGACAGGGGGGCAGGCCCCAAATTTTGGAAACCATGGAAATTAAGGGCAAATGCTAGGAAAAATAAAGAAAATAATCAGGTGATTTCATTGCAATTCTCCATAAATATTCGGCCAAAATTTCAGCTGCCCCCCTGGAAAGCATCAGCCCCGTACGCCTATATGGGACGATCCGGTATAGTTTTGTAGAACTCTCTACAATCATATTTAAACTTTGTTACCCTACCGCTGAAAGTTCTGGTATTTTCAGGTAAATTCTCATATTTTCAGGTAAACTATTCGATTAAAAAAAGTTGCATTAAATGCATTGTAATCATGAGTAATGGCAGTAATCACATAAATTAATCACATATGCATAAACAGTACAGGTTGCATGTGACTGCTGACCTATGTATATGTTACGATTTCGACAGAAACGCGCCCCGTGGTCAGAAAGTTGAGCGCTTTACATTGCTCACTGACCTCACATATGGACTGGTTAGCCTTCCTCAGGTCGGGCTACCCGCATACCCACAGTTTTTTTGCAAATCTGGCGAAGATTTGTCACAACAGTGTTTTTCGTGAAAGCATATAAGAATTCATTTTTGTCGCTGCCGAGCGCAGCCAAGCAGCACAGGATCACAGAATAAAGACATACACAGAAGGTCGACTTCTTGGTTTTTGCCTATGATTTTGGCGTAACCGTTCCAATGCTGTCGCCATGGTTAGCCAGTGCGCTTATGAAAGGTGTTCTCCTCCTGAAAATAATGGCTGACGTCCAGGGTACGTGCTAGACTAATCTACCACTGTCCAAGATTTTCTCACATCACCCCAGTTTTGAGATCACTTCACTGGCTACCGGTAAAATTCCGGGTGGAATTCAAAATTGCTTTACTGGTTTACAAGGCTCTTAATAACATTGCCCCTATCTACATCTCTGAAATGCTTATCCCAAAACAATCAAGTGATCGCTGGACATTACGATCGGATGGTCCAGGTCTATTATACATCCCGAAAACAAACTGTAAGACTCTAGGAGATCGGGCTTTCGCACATGCTGCTCCACAATTATGGAATTCTCTGCCTCTGGATGTCAGGAACTGTGAAAACATTTCTGTGTTTAAGAAACGCTTGAAAACATTTCTTTTCAATAAGGCTTATAACCCTTTATAGGTTGAGACCATATTGGATTCTATCATTCTTATTATAGATACATACATTAGTGTATTTTCTAATTGTATACAATACCATGTTTTATATAGCATATTTAATTCTTAATATATTTAGATTTTTATAATGTACAGCGCTTCGAGTATATAATATAACATATGCGCTTTATTTAAATGAATAAATTATTATTATTATTATACTATAGTGTATATGACAGATCGCCAGATTCCAGTGTTTGTTGTATAAAATAATATAGCTTGGCATGATGGCATCTACTCAATTCTCATATGCCTACCCAGGCATGTCCCACCTAAACATGGTTTGAGAAAATTTATTGACTGGTTTCAAATTAACTGGTACTTTCATAAGTTTCCAATATTTATTCATATATAGGTGGGTCAGTTTAGGATAGATAAAAATATCAATTTGATGTGTTGTTGTCATATGTGGCAACTTGATTATAGACGTGTCCCTAACTGGAAACAGTTAAAGTCCTTAGTTTGTTTGTTCAAACTTATGAATACATTTAGTTACACCACATGTCTTCATGATCTACTTAGTTTAATAATATATGAAAAAACCTTTGGGCTACATTTTATATATTTTAGAGACACCCCGGCAAGGGTTTGATTGTTTTTGAAATTACCCATTTCACTCCAATGAGCCCAATATTCAGCACTTTGTTATTAAATGTTATCTTACCTGATGCCGGACAATTTTATTCATGAAGTGTCTAGCTAGCGTACTACACTCTGCCCATGTTTCATGTTGACATATAACACTTCCTACTTAAGTACTTTGATATTATTATTTAACTCTGACATTTCATGCTAGACAATTTTACTTACCGACTGTGGCATGCTCGCCGATATCTCACCTAAATATTAACACCTATAAATGAGCAATTTCCTCTTAAATTACTTACTTGAAGAATGAAGTTCTTTGTAGGGGGTGTGCAAGATAGAATGTTTTTGCTATCCAGCTGCATACAGGATATATGTTGGATAGTTGAAAAATATCCAGCTAGATTCAGGGCATTATTCAAATATATAAATGTTTTTTCTAACCTGTAAAGAAGGCCTAAACTACAGTAGCTGCAGCTGAGCTTCGCCCTATTCTTGGTGTTACAAGATGTTCTTGCTTTTTTTCTGACCAGCCCCCAGCCAAGTTACTGTATGTATATACTTAACTCTTTGGCTACTATAGAGACTGCTAACTACAGATTTTTAACTCATTCATTGGCAGACCTCTACCTACTGATAAGTAAAATTGTCTGGCATTTACAGACGGTAAATACTAAAGTAGATCTGTAATAGCCTCTGATGTTTCAGCACTTCTACACTTGTTCTAAATTTCTTTTACTAATTATATTTTATTTAAATACTATTTACATTACATGTTTTAACTTTTTATTATCTATGTTTTAACTACCGATATTTATAATATATTTTGAAAATATTTATAGGCTATATGTATTTGTATACACTATAGTTAATAACTATTTTAACTGTATTAATTAACAGGGCATATTTTAACTAGTTATTTAATATGTTATTACTATTTTTGAACTATTTTTAAACTATTTGGGCAATATTATATCCACTATTTATTATCTATATTTAACAAGCTGGGATGTATTTTAACTATTTATTATCTATTTTTAAACTATATTATCACTATTTTTGAGCTATTTATTATCTATTTTTAAACTATATTATCACTATTTTTGAACTATTTATTATCTATTTTTAAGCTATATTATCACTATTTTTGAACTATTTATTATCTATTTTTTAAACTATAATATCAATATTTTTGAACTATTTATTATCTATTTTTAATTAACAATTATTCGCCGAAGGCGAGGTGATTATCGGTGAACAAAAACCGAGACGAAGTCGAGGTTTTTATTCACGATAATCACCGAGCCTGCATGAGGTGAATAATTGTTTTAGTATAATTTCATAGGTGATTATTTAGAAAAAAATAAAAAATAGACATTTCTTCGTCATTTAATTTGACAAAACGGCTTCGGCTGCCATTTTGAAAATCGCTTAGGTGATTATCGCGTAATAATCACCTCAACGGCAACCAATCAGCGTGGAGAATTTTCAATAATCACCTATGTAATTATACTAAACTATATTATCACTATTTTTGAACTATTTATTATCTATTTTTAAACTATATTATCACTATTTTTGAACTATTTATTATCTATTTTTAACTTAGTTGAAACTCATTTCAGCTATTTATTACATATTTTTTACCTATATTGTCACTATGTTTTAACTAAGTTTAAAATAGTTATAACACACCAATGTGTTAGAACACAATACCAATGTGTTGGAACACATTGGTATTGAAGGAACTAGATACTGTTCCGAAATATCACTTACTCGACCCGTCCTGACCGCGTAGCTCAGTTGGAAGAGCATTGGGCTAGTATTCCAAAGGTCGTAGGTTCGAATCCCACCGTGGCCGGGCATATTTTTCAAGCTCGCCCGGTGTGGATATGCACTCAGAGTAACATCGCAAACATATGTTTTAACTATTTTATACATATTTATTAACTATGTCCAAACTATATATTTTTAATAATTTCCTTAAATAGCTGTATTTTTATCATATTTGAAACCTATTTAATTTCTATTCGAGTACATCAATTAAGTATTTGTTTAGAAATATACCAAGAATAGGAAAAAAATATGGTTCCACTTGGATAGGAAAAAAATAGCCTTTCTACCCTAATTTAAAAAGGAAAAACCTCGAAAAAAAATAATAGCAAATATAGGAAATAAATACTTTGACAAATAGGAATTAAATAGCCCAATAAAATAGGAATTAAATAGCAATTAAATAGTGTTTGATTCTACAAGGGTTGCCATTCACTTTCTCATAGGGAATTTTGAGATCCACACCTTTCCCATCCTTTCAAAATAGCGACAATTACGATCGCTCGTCAACTTTTCTTGGGCGACCTTGTTGTCTTTTAACTGTTTAGATCTCAGCGCAGCTGGTTGTTGGTCTTCCCTCTCTATTCTTGCTACTGATGAAGGGCTTATATGACATTTTCTCGTGATCTCCCTATTCGAAAAACCCGATTCCTTTCTATAATAAAGTACCAAAGCCCTTGTCTTCGCTGTGATTTTTCTTGCGTAAATCATCCTTAAATGTATCTAATTATCAAAATGCATATTATTCAATTTTATTTTCTAGCCAGCCTCACTTAATATACGCGTACGGGATTATAATGATTCATAGTAACCCCCCCCCACATATGACGTCATAATTATCAACATTACGATGCGCACGCTAGGTTTCCAATAACTCCCAACGAAATCATTTGGAACACGCCTCCCAATATACGTGGAAAACACGTAAATAATGCTTCGGTACATTCTGAGTCAAAATTATATATACATATAAATTTTAGTTTCATCTTTATATTCGGACAATCCTGGTCAAAAGTATTGGAGCACTTGACACTGACTGTATACTGGGCTAGTATTCCAAAGGTCGTAGGTTCGAATCCCACCGTGGCCGGGCATATTTTTCAAGCTCGCCCGGTGTGGATATGCACTCAGAGTAACATCGCCAACATATTATTCACCTGAGTACACAACACCAACACAGAAAAAATCATAAGTATTTATATGGTAATCAGAAATGAAGTAAAGGTTATGCTATTTCGACTAAGCGCGCCAAGGATTGTAGTTGTGATGCTAATTGATCGCCTGCCACATTTGGTCCAGACTTGCCCGCGTTATTTGGTCGCGCTACCTGGCGTCATAGATTTTGGAAGCTCATTACTTCTGGAGCAAAGTGACGTCATTTGCGGCATTCCTTTGAACTCCAGAGGGGGGCTTTACTACTCAGGCTCTCAAGCTGAATTGAGAGACTGGATCGATGACTAATATGAATTTGAATATCTGCGTCTCAAATCGTGACGCAAAATTCTCATTGGTCAGATGCTATAATTTATATGTTTCCGCTGAGCTCTATATATGTCAACTGCTGAAGCACTATGCATAAAAAACACATTAACTGATCAAATTGGTTTTGGCTATCTTATCTCAAAGCACGAAATGCTCTGTTTTGAGAAACCGTATTTAAAATATTTGAACTTCTGCTTGAATATCTTATATTTCGAAAAACAGTATAAACTGTACGGTCTAAATTTAGTTTGCACGGTCTAAATTTAGTTTGCACGAAAGTTGTAAACAACACCATATAAGGATAGACATTCCCTATGTGGAAAAACGAACGTTACGGGGAAGATATTCAAATTCATTAGTAATCTATGCAGGCTCTCAATTCAGCTTGAGAGGCTGTTCGCAGGCTACTTCGAACGCCAAATTGCAGTTTTCTATTTTACTTAAAACATGAACGGTATTATAAAACATGATTTTGAAAGAATTAAAGTGAGTTTTGACTGTGGTAGTATACTGGATTTCTTGCATTTTGCAGAGTCTTGTGTTGCATACTACGAAAAAAAACCCACCCGCCTGACCTAGAAAAATTAAAATGGGTGGACGCTAAACAAGTATTTTTTTATGTGGCCTAAGTACAAAACATTTTGAGACTCCATTTTAAAAACTGTGGCACTAGCATTGTTTCTAAAAATAGAAATGTTGCAAATCACATATATTTTCTGATATAGTTTCGAAGTTCTCATCCGCAAATCTGCAAAAGCGTTTCCATCATTAGCATACCGGGCTCAGAAGAGCTATTGTGATCGATGGGCTAAAGCCAAGAGTTGCGAGACAGGTGATATGGTTGAATGGTTTGATCGTAGAAAAAAGTAAATAATGGAAAAGGACGTTGCGTGAAACTTAACCGACCTTGGACTGGTCGATGTGAAATAATAAAGACTTTATATGACGTTGTTTATCAAATAAAGTATTAGAGGAGAGAAAGAAAAAGCATCAAGAGGCGAGTTGTTCAATATAATCTGCTCAAACCATTCAAGGAAAACGGTAGTCCAGAGAACGGAAAGCTAATGGCAACACCACGTACAGGTTAACGATTAAGCCGAATCCGAGGAACAGTTTCTGAATGTTTGGATAGAAGATGAGATCGAGTTGCACGATCACGAATTAGAATCAGAGGACGGTTTGTTAGACCAGCAAGAATGACAAGACCTTAAAGACAAAGGCGACCTTCTGCCTGGCTTCAAGACTATGAATAAGAATTTTAACATAGGATCGGACTATATAATAACTAGGGCATTTTTTGCGTACTCGCTTTGAATAACTCCCTCAAAATATCAGTGCATCGTACACACAAGCTAATGTTATTGGCCACAACCTTCAAGGGCTTTAAGTATCGAAATTAAAAATTAATAGTTAATAATGAAGGTAAATGTAAAGAAATGATTATATTAAAGAAAGTCCGATCAGAAGATTGCGTATCACCAATTTATGGTTTTGAACGGCACTCTAGTCTTGAAATACTGGGGTTAACCTTTGAAATGACAAGCAGATTTGAGAAATGTGTTAAGAAAAAGTTGGTGAAGGCAAATAAATGCTTGTTTGTAATTCGAAAGCTGAGGAATGAAGGATACAGTCAAGACGAATTAGATCTTCTTTTTAGGTCATTGGTCCTGTCACAACTTACCTATGGCTTATCAGTCATTGCTGCATCACCACCGGAGTTAACAACTATTCAAAACTTCTTAACTCGTTGTTATAAAAGAAGATACACATCAGAACAAATAGATATTAATACTCTGTTAGAGCAGACAGATAGAATTCGAAAGCTGTTTGAAAAGCTGTGTAAACAAAACAATCATCCGTTAAGAGAAATTTGTCCAAAAATTAAAGAATATACAGTTAAACTTAGAACACAAGAGGCACAGTGGTCAAGCATTTCTACCGAGCGTTTTAAAAATAGTTTCATCAATAGATGTATTTTTAGATATAATTTAGCTTTGCAATTATAATATATCCTAAAAATTTTTTAATGTTAAAAACTTGTAATATATTTTAAAAATTGTTTTGTAATTAACACTTGATATGTAATTTATCAATTGATTAATAAGAATAAGAATAATAATGTTCTAAAAAAATGAATTCTACAGTTATAGGAATGCTATAATAAGGATTGTCGTAAATTTCTAAAACGAAAAGAATTGCTCGCGAATATCCTTTTTGGAAGCATGTTTAAAACTAGCAAATCCAAAAGAGCGATTTCTTATAGAGATCGAATAGTAGTATATAGTGCAAGGGCCACCGTAATATTTTGGAAAACCGCTGAGTAGCAGCCGTTGAGTTTGAAATAAAACTTATACATGTATAAGTATCAATCTTTAATATGTTTATGAAAAGAAAATTTGTAATTGGAATGCATTTATTTATTTATTTATTTGTGAAACAAAAGTATACTGGTTAAATTTGACGTTAATGTTGGACATGTATTCACATGCAGTAGAAATTTATTTGAGCTTATTTGCCAGGGGCGGATCTAGGAATTTTCGTACGTTAGTCAAATTTTTTCCGAGTTGCTGCCATCCGGGGGGGGGGGGGGGGTTTTAATTTATGTCTGTGGGGGTTGTAGCATTATAAGTTTTTCGTTGTTCGCCCGACAGCCGACGCGATTGTATTGTCACGATATTGTAGTGTCGTGCGATTGTCTGGAATTTTGTTTTACACATCGGCATGTTCTTTTAATAAATAAATTTTTGACCCTCCTGTCAACAAAACGTCACATTATATAACAAACGAATTGTCCGAAATTGTTATTAGTCAATATATTTAGTATAAAATAATGTTTTGTTCACACGTGGGACGCGCGAATCAGAACAGTAATGAATCGGAAAGTTACAGAATACACTGCATGGTTGTTGCTATTGTATAGTGATTAGTGGGAGGTTTTTTAGTGAGAGATTTTGCGAAATTAGGATAGTTCGTAGCGTCGAATAAAAGCTAAAAGAAACTATATTGTGTTGAGGATTATCTCGGGGGCAATTCTCAACAAGATTTCACACGAACAATCACAAAATCCGCTTACTTCTAGATATCGTATTACAACACAGCATAACACCGACCATGCAATCTCAAAATCTCCAGATTCTGTCACTACTAATACATCAATTAATATTGCCCGATACAAATATAAACGAACACAAAAGCGGTTTATACTTTATAGCTTTAGCTATGGTTATATACAGTTAATTTAAGCAGCCAAACCGCTCTTATATCTTATTACCGCCGTCAATAAGCACACTTTAAGCAGGTTTTAAAAGCTTACTTAGTACCAGACTATGAACTAAAATATAAATATAATCTCCTAACCTTATCTCCGTACATTTCTATTGTGGTGGACGAGACCGAATTGAAATCTTTGGCGAGACTGGTTCTGGTGATATAGTTGTGGATAGACTTGGTATGAATAGCGGCTAAAAGCTCTTCGATATATCGATCTTGTAGTATTGATATGCTTTAAAAGATCTGTGTTCATCATTTCTAGACTGGACAGTCTGGTATAAACTTTATATTGCGGGAACCACTAAGTATAATTATTACACATACATTTTATATTGTCGTCGTACTCGTACGTGAATTTAATCTTCGCGGTGAATAAATTTTCCAAATGAGTCAGATGAGACAAAAAGTATGAGCCAATGAGAGAAGAGAATTTGGTCTTTTTCGACCAATCAGAACTTCAAATATTGCGCAAATAAGGCAGACCCCCACGAAGATGAGGCAAAAAAGTTGAGCCAATAAGAGAGGAGAATTCTCCTTCAATCAGCCAATCAGATACCTCATAGATGACGTAAATAAGGCAGACCCCCACGAAGATGAGGCAAAACCATTCTCGACCAATCAAATCGCCAGAATCTGCCTCAAGTAAGTCAAGGCCACTGAGCTTACAACCGCTGAATGAAACTTGATAACTGGACTATTGTGAATATTAATTACACTTGCTATCACTGCAGGAAGGATTACAACTGGAGTACTGGACACTTTTATGAATCAGTAATTATCTGCGCAATTTTTACGTTAGTCGCGTGACTTATTTGACAACCCCTAGTTATTTGCTGCCAAAAGCAAGGCATAACAAGCCTAGCGCAAGGTGGCTTTATTTTCATTAACATCTTGATGGAAAGACCGTGTTTAGCGTATTTATCCACCTGCAAATCTCATTATACAATCATTTGCTCCGTGACTGGCATATAGAAACAATGTTTGCAGCCTCGACTATGCTGAAAATGCTATCTTTAACCACATTGATGCTTACTATTGCAAGCGTTAATGCACAGAACTGTTCTTCCAGGTATTATGAGACCATCAGAAGAGGCAAGTATTCCGTTTTTATTTATTTAGTAAATTAAAATACTGCTTTTAAAACGTCAATGTCACGATAAAGTACTAGTACAGCGACGTTAGTCTCCTATTTTCTTCACTATTCCACCAACAAGTCGTGATCTATTTGAACTCTTTACATTGACACAGGAGGTCCAACTTTACCTCCAGATGAGGTTATATCGAGTCATAGTATTGAAAACCCAGCAGTCCAGATAAAGTGCTACCATCTTTGTTATAAAGAACCAAAATGTGTTGGATTTAACTACAGAATTACAACAATCAAAGTTGAAAACTGCCAACTAACCAACGTTACGAAAAAGAGAGATACAACAACATCAGGAGATTGGACGTTGTTACGCGACATTGAAGCGGTATGTCAGAATTTATTTATTTATATTTCACTACGCATTTTAAATTTTAATGTTGTGGAAAAATATAATTACATACACATGTTGGGCTCATTAAATGAAACATGCAAAAAACCTTTACAAAACGAGTCCAATGCAGAAATAAAATGTTTTTCCACATTAGCGCAAAAGATGAACGAAGAATGATGGCGGGGGAACAGAGGGTTGGGGTGGGGCTTTCAGTGCTATGGATCTTCAAACAGTAAAAGTTGGTGGATCATCCTTTTTACCCTATATATACTTGCAAGTAATGAACCAGGCGGGAATCGTAATCGTAATATAAAAATTAATGCCCAGCATATAACGTACGCAAAAGAGCCATATAGACAAGAATATAGACATCTAAAAATAATTTCTCATGTGACTAAAACGGTAATATGGAAGGTCAACAAGGTGAACTAAAGTAGCAACAACGATCCGCTATAATTAATAGTTGAAAATTGAGACACCCTCTCCCCGGAAATAATACCTGAAAGAAAAAACGGCTTTCAATGTTAAATACAAGTCAGCGCTTCATTTGGGGACAGTTGTTTTGTATTAAGGAGCAACAAATTGCGCGCTCGTTTGCCAAATACACAAAATAAGTAATTACAGCACCCGCTTTTCGTATAATATCGCTGTTTTTATTTATTATACGAGATTAATTACTATGCCTTTACAACAACAAGGTTGAACTTAACTTCGAATAGTGTCTTCACAATCATGTTCACTTAAAGTTTCACTTTATTTTAGCCTATTACTTTATTTCTATTTTGCACTCTATTTTAAATATATTTTATCCGATTTTAAACCTACTTTACACCGTTTCAGAAAAATAAAATCTATTTAAACTAAAGCTACTTTTTGTTTCAAAAAACCTATTTATAATAGCTATAAAATACTTATTTATTTAATTTACCCAAAAACAGGAAGGGCGCACCCACAGAGCCGAAGCTCCAATAACGGGTTCCCCGCGTGAGTTGTAAAATAC